TACAACTATTACAGAAATCAGGACTCAAGGAGTCCATGTTATATTAATGAATTATATATATATATGTACACATGTATGGGCACCAAAAGGAGGTAGCTTGATTTCAATGTAACATTGTATCATGTCAATGACATTTTAATTGTAACCAAGTCTTTATGTATTAAATATACGTTTATACAAAACCATGTATGTTTGATGGACGTTCTGTATGGTTTGGACACTTTTAAAGCCCCGCTTTTCTTTATCTCTCTTGTATACAATTCTAATTGGGGGTGTGGTGCCTATCCCTAATGGTTCAATTCAATTTTTATGCTTTAAATTACTTAAAAAGGTGATGACAGGCTAAATATATTGTTTAGACCTGTATTTTTTTGTTCTTATAATAAATATCTGTATAATGCCAAGAGTGAAAATGGACTATGTGCAAGCCCCCAAAGCAACAAAAAGTTTGAACACAGCATATACTGTAGTCAGTTGCAGTTTGCTGAGTGAGCCATCAAGTAGGAATGAGAAGACTGCATGTAATTCTAAAGCAACTCCCTGATGTACCCTATGTGACTCTATTTGTTTCATGGATGGCAGTGTTGTGCAGTGTAGTATATCCTTTGTATCTCCTTTTGTTTAATATTGTATATCAGTTGTAGTGGTAAAGCTGGCCATACAACTATAGATTTTCTGCAGATTTTCTATGGTCAGATGGAAAAAGTGCAGATTCCTCCATCTACGCTAAACTGTTGGATGGAGGAATCTCCCACTGGGCCAAGTTTCAGTATCTTGCTAGTCGGCCCCGCTGGCTCTCAAAATACCTGAACAATGCCTAGTATAAAACCCAGTGACTGACAAGTGTGGAGGACTTGAAGCAAAGAGATCAGGTACATGAAGTGCACTTGAAGTCTCAATGGAGCATAGGTATATAGTTTAACATTGAAGTACTCTGGTAGTCCACTAGTTTTTTATGGTGTTCCCTTAAAGGGAAATGCTGATGGTTTTGGGTCCATTTTATTTTAATTGATTTTTTTGTGTGTTTTATACATTTTAACAGCGAAACTTCATGTTATGTTTTAGGCCCCATTCACACCAGATGTATTGGCATTTTGAGAGCTGGGTCATCTGAGTATCTTCTTCATTTCGAATAAAGAAGATACCACAGCATCTTTGCAATCCTTACTACACTAGACTGAATACAGCAAGTTGCTTTTCTTGTGTTTGGTGTTGGTTCTTTTGAATATACACAAAATGTACACATGTACATCCAAAGACCCAGCTCTCAAAATGCAAGTAAAGTAGCTTGATAAACGTGATTGCAAAGTCCTTTGACATTGGGTCAGAAGTCAGCAAGCAACCTTTCAACAACGTTCAGTCTTTCAAGGACAGAAAGGTGCACATTTTGGACAGAAAGTTCAAGTGGTTGCCAAGGGTCCGGAAAAAGGTCATCTAAATCAAAATAGAACATCCACCTCTAAACTAGGGTGGGGTCTTTGACACCATCTATCGTTCCCATATAATTCCATTTATACCTCTATACTCTGGAGATGTGACAAAAATTCACACCTTCTGCCATGCCTGTTTGAGATTTCACTGTACCATGGTGATTGTAATAAAAAAGCCGAATAGGGTAGTGTCACAATCTTTCGTACCTCCTGTTATCAACATCTGCATTGACACATTACATGACACCATGGCAAATGGATCAAGGTGACTGAGTTACCTGTGTGGCTATAAATGTTGGGGTATGTTCCTGACACTCATTACAAATTGAGAAACCACTTAGATTAGAGTGGCGACACATCTTCAGTGTCAAAGACCAAGTCAAGCTGAAAATGACTAACTGCTGCTGTATATATTTATGATTTGTCTAAGGTTATGAGATGGCTTCCCCCATTGGGATCACTTTATAATATCAATGCAGAAGTTAATGTGAACCTATCATCCTGTCAGACACACAGTGTATTTTAAAATAAGATCCTCCCATCTGATGGGATTGCAAAGCATGACAACTCTCTTGTGACCCTAACCAATCTGTGCAAATTGGATGATGTAGAAAAGGTTTCCATCCCCTTATAATTTGCCACGCCTACCCAGCCACTGGCCAGTCCTATAAACTGTAAATAAAATGAAATGCACTTTTTGAGAAAAACACCATTTCCTCTGTATTCCAGATTTGGTGCCTTCAAACATGTTTTCTGCGAGGTACAAGCACAGACGGTTATTCAATAGGGATTCCAATATACATCCCAGTAGTTTAAAATTCATCATCTAGAGAGCTTCAAAGTGTCTGAGGCCTACTTGAGGCTGATATAACTCTCTTTTTAGTACAGCTCAAAGAGAACCATGCTGATGGCTGTACACAGGTTTCACTGAAGTGTCTAGGCGATATGCCTGCTGTGTATACAGGTGCTGCTGAACACTGTCATTCTCATATATATGGAAGTGCCAACTCTTTCAACCCAAACTTCAATAAAACTGGCTGCTGCAGGCACATGAATGAAGTGCCTCACAACACTTTATTCATATCAACACCAGTGTGCAGGTCCTTTACAAATGCCAAGACTAGACTCCCAAGTGAAAATTAAATATTTCCCATTGCTACATCCTCTTTAGAAGATCTAAACTCACTCTCCAGGGCTTTAGTTTACCAAATGCACTCCTGATTCTTAAAGTGTTCCCACTGCCTTAGCACCAGCCCATTTTCGTAATGCAGTCAATCTGCAGCACACATCCTTCTGCTAAGCACCACACTTCACACTTCATAATGTGAATGGATAGGGTGGATTGGGATTGGAACACTGGTGGCAAATTGGGATTAAGGGCACATTTATAGCAGAATTGGAGCCAAAAACTTGAGTCAACGGATGTACATTGACTTGAGTTTGCATAGTGCGTTGATATCCATTGCATTGCATTATGCTGCGTTTTTTTGTTTGATTTTTACACTAAGCTATATAAGGAATTGGTTCTGCCTTGCATTGACACACATTAGCAGTTTACACCAGTCTCTTGCATTATGCTGAAAAAATGTAGGGCCTGCTCTGCTCGTTTTTCAGAAGAGGGCAGCGCAACGCAATGCACTGGTGTGAACTGCTCCCATTTACACCCATTCATTCTCAGATGTCCTTGCGTTGGCATCTGTTGAAAAATGTATTAAAAAAATTAAATAGAAAACGATTGTGCAGAGCTAGCAGTGACAGCTAGCTCCGCCCAATAGTTTCCTATTGTCCGGCGGCTCTGCTGCTGTAAAAAAAAAAAAGTTAAAAAAATGTAAAAACTCTCCCTGGGGCCCCGGGAGCCCCCTGCAACCGGCCGCCAAGGAGAGAAATGCTGCTGTGTCTTTTTTTCTTCATTCTGGCACGAGCGATGTCAGAATAGAGGAAAAAAAAAATTCCCATTCAAAAGCATTGAGAGTTTACGATTGGCTATTTCAATTTGCAATAGCCAATAGTAATGTCCCAATGCTTTTGAATGGGACTTTTTTTTTTTTTCTATTCTGACATCCCCCCGTGTCAGAATAAAGAAAAAAGCCACAGCGGGGTTTTTCTCCTTGGCGGCCGGTTGCAGGGGGCTCCCGGGGCCCCAGGGAGAGTTTTTACATTTTTTTAACTTTTTTTTTTTTTCTATTCTGACATCCCCCCGTGTCAGAATAAAGAAAAAAGCCACAGCGGGGTTTTTCTCCTTGGCGGCCGGGAGCAGGAGACTCCCGGGCCGCCAGGGAGAGTCAGATGCTTGGAGATCAGTGTCCCTGGTTAGCAACCAGGGACGCTGATCTCTCTGAAAGTGGCCGGAGCCAGCCGTACAGCACCCCCTCGGTTCTCCTGAACCGAAGGGGTCCTGGTGCCGAAGCTAGCCGAAGGATCGGCCGAAGCTACGGCCAGATCCTTCGGCAGCTTTGTGAATAGACCCCATAGTCTTTTATTTAAAAAAACAAATGTCCATCAATGTAATCCCAAGGTCAATTTTGTCATTGAGTAGATCCACGTCAATCACGATGGACGGTGGATGCTGACTCCCTGAAATAATAAATACCCAACTGCCCTGCCGACACGACCGCTCCTGATGAACACCAGCTGCAAAATGACAGCTCTGACCTGAATGTCAACAAAGGGGCGGAGCGAGTCGTGACTTCACGGGACTTGTCCCACCCCTTTGTTGACATTCAGGAGCAGAACTGTATTCATAAAATTAGAAATAGTGGCTCAGCAGCAGCATCTCTGGAAATAATTTTTGTAGACCGATGTACTGTATATATCTAGTCAGATAATATTATCAACCTGAATTTTCATAGTCTTAATCAGCACCCCACACAATCACAAAATGGTCAGACAGACCCCTTTCTTTCGCTGCAATACATGTCTAGGTTCTTGTGCCGAGGGGTGTGGCTGTTACTCAGCTATGCCACAACAGAGCACTCAAGTAGGAGAGCAGGAAGCATAATTTACAATGAGAGACAAAAGTATTTGAAAGCTGAACTCCAGGTATAAATATTTATGCATACTTACGTTGATCCAGCTTGACTTAACATAAGTATACATATATTAGACCTGGTAGGGCCACGGGGATCCTGTAAAGGCCTATAGTAACCAGAGCTACTACAGTGCTTTACAGTGATTTTCTGGGTCCTGAATGCTGATGTGCTGAGCAACTTCCCCACTGCTCTATAAAACACAGAGGGTCACTCACTTGGCACAGCGACCATTTAGAAACAGCCTAGTATTTCAACAATGAATACAAGGCGTTCTCTCATTGGGCATGGGGTGGAAAGTGATGTCACCAACCATTGTCCAATCAGGGAATGCCTTGTATTTTTTAATAAAAATTAGGGATGCACCGATACCAAGTACCGTACTCGGTACATGTACAAATACAGACTAGAGAAAAATTCAAAAGTTAGGAGGCAGCTGCCATTTGTAAGGAGCACACGGAGCTCCCGGGATTTGTACATCTCTGTTTTAATGTATGATTTTGTTTTTATAAATATAAATAAAGGGATGCAATGATACCATTTTTGCAAGTACAAGTACTGATACATTTTTGTTTATTGCCAGGTGACAGTTTTTCTAAAACAATACAGATTAATGATTTCAGGACAGTGGAGGAGCACCAGAGCTAGGTCCCAGATGCAACCCTGGTAGTTGTCATGAAAATGCCAAGTATCTGCACTGGTATCAGAAAAGTATCGGTACATCCCTAATAAAAATACTAGGCATTCTCTGAAGTGGCATTCAGGACCCTGAAGATCACTGCAAAGCACTGTAGTAGCTCCAGCTTCTACAGTGTTTTACAGGATCCCCATGGCTGGCCAGGTATAAAATATGTATACTTGTATTGGGCCAAGCTGGACCAATGTAGGTATGCACATAAATATATATACCTGGAATTAAAATGTAAGGCATTTCATAAAAAAATTATTGCAAATCATACCATACAGGAGTACAGGATTGTAAAGAGATATAAATATGTGAGACTTTAATTGGGCTTTAACCCCAAGATCAAATACTGTAGTTATAAACTATAAACAATGATCAGTGAATATACATAGGTTTCCATAAAATGATAAAGCTGGGAAATGTATAAGGCTTTCATTTGCTTTTGTTCTGCATTTGTTATTGGTGACACAAAGACCTGGTCAGAGGCACCTAGTAAATTTAATTAGAAGAAAGGAAGTGTGGGCGTGTGCTATGTACTAAAAAATCTACTTTCATAATGACATCATTATATCTGTTATTTTTCTGTCATTTAAAGTGCTAGCTATTTTAACCCATTGCTATTTTTCATTTCTGGCCTACCCATTTACCAATATTCATTTTCACATTGCTCCCTGTATAAGTCCTTCCTTTGTTGTCGATCATGCTTTGGCTTTGTCTACTGTAACTGCTTTATTCATTCATAAAATTACAATAAGACATATGCATGCCCTCATTATTTCCCATTTTGACTTTTCAATCTTCTGCTAACTGATTTAGTAAAATAATTGTGTGTCTGGATGGTATTCTGAAGCCCCTGTTTTCTGTCCACAGGCCAGGTACAGTCAGGTCTCCACAGTGCAAGCCTCTCTTTGCTGACCCAAACCCTGAGCTGAGCTGAGACCACATGCCTAGGAGGTGAGAGTTGTTTTAGTATTCACATCAGTTAGCACGAGATTGTTATGGCCAAGCATGCCTGCTCTTTGTCATGTAACCCCACAGCTCTTGACGGTCATCTCCATCTATAGCTACAACAACCATTCACCCCATTCATTATAATATAAATTGCAGTGCTTTTCCACTAGGGAATTGTTATATGAGTTGGTTTCCAACTTTCCTTTCAAATTTGCTTCGCTTTAACTTCATTTTTGCGTAATGCTTGCAGCCCAGAATTCATATTAGTAGACCTGTGTGCTTATTAAATAAGGTAGAGCAATCATTGCATGCAGTCATTCATAGCAACCAATCAAATTTGAGTTGTCTTTAGAGAGAAGCTAATCATTTTTCATTGGTTGCTGTGGGTTGACGCACATTTCACATTTCCATTATCTTTACACTGCATTACTGTATATCTGTATATGTATGTATATATATAGATATATATATATATATATATCAATCATACATTGCAGATATACAGAATACTCACTATATTATACTATACTATTATACTATAAAAATTGCATGCATATTATATGATTATAGTGGCAAGTAAAGTGAGTACAGCAAAGCCAAGTAATAACAATCATTGAATTAATGCAAAGGTGATCATATATCTTTTTCAGATCTAATGAATCATTTTGCTCTTGTTATTTCTCTTGACCCCTAAAAAGTATAACTGTAGTCAAAGGGTACTATGTAACTGCTATGGATTCCAGCAGCACATTGGGCACTGATCATTCCAGTTCAAAACGTATTGATGCAGACAGTGACGGTATTTGGAAATACACCAATCAGCCATAAAATTATGACCACTGACAGGTGAAGTGAATAATTTGATTGTCTCGCAACAGTGGCACCTGGAAGTGTGTTAGATATATTAGGCAGCAAGTGAATATTTTGTCCCTGAAGTTGATGTGATTACGTAAGAATGTAAGTAACTTTGACAAGGACCAAACTGTAATGACTAGATGACTGGGCCAGAGCAAATCCAAAACTGCAGTTCTTGTGGGATATTTCAGGTCTGCAGTGGTCAGGACTGACCAACAGTGCTTCTAGGCCAGAAAACCGGTGAACCAACAACAGTGTCGTGGGCAGTCAAAGTTCATTTGATGCATGTGTGCAAAGGAAACCCCAAACTCACAACTTACAGTACTTAAAGGATCAGCTACTGACAGCTTGATGCCAGATACCACAGCATACCTTTAGACCTGCTGCGGTCTAGTGGAGTTCATGCCTAGATGGGTCAATGCTGTTTTGGCGGCAGAAGGGGGACCTACTCAGTATTACGCAGGTCATCATAATGTTGTGGCTGATCGGTGTAATGTTTTTACAAAATTAGCATATAATTACTATCTCTGTCAAATAGGTATGAAAGGAATTAGTTGTCTTGTTTATTACCGATGTAGAATGTCATAGGTGTCAGTACTTGGATTCTGGATAGCCAGGAAATAATTGGGGCTTATTTACAGAAGGAGAAGAATGTTTACTTAGCCTAGAACAGCTCTGTTCACGTAATGCCCCACCATGTGCAAGGGAGTTATTAAATAATTTCCTCTGCACATAACTGGATGATTAAATTTAAAAAAAACAACTTTAGAGGAATAAATAGGCACTCTAATTCTTTGTAATTATCCCCAATGAGTGTGTAATTGATTTATACATTGATAGAGTGTCTATATACTTATTGTTTGTGTTTGTTTGATAACAAGTACATTTGTGTGTAATATATATCCTTCTGTACAATAAATGATGAGAATATTAGATGCGCAAAGCATCCCCATGGCCACACAGAAACAGCATAATCAGCCTTATTCTACGGCACGATTGTGGGTAAAGACTCCAGTCTTCAGTGTAACTTTAACGCTGAGTTTTGGGAATCTAGTTAAAGTGCAATTGAAGTCAAAACTTTTTTTTTTACTTTTGGATAGAGTAGGGAGGGATTGGAACACCTATCAGGTTTCTATTGCTGTCTGTGTCTAAAAATTAGAGGAAATCCCAAAGTTTGGGTTGTCACCAGAACAGGAATAGATGTCCCTGCTGACCACCAGCGATTGCCCACACTTTAGAAGGGATTTCCTCTCATTTTCTATTGTGGCTATCAGACAAGAAGTGAAGGGACATTTCCCCAAAAGGACACACACAAAAAAAGCTGACAGGGGTTTAGTTACTGTATCCAAAACTTTAAAAAAATGGGTTTTTTAACCCAGTAGTTTTAAATGCTCAAACTTTTTTTTTTTCAATAATGAATCCAGATGAAACAAATATGCATTGCCCAGCAACGTATTTCTTTACATTTTTGCTCAAGCACTTACAGTCATTATGTCTCCAAAGAGCTCCAACTCCTTCAGCTCCCTTCCCTGAACTTCCTGGCCAGTACAAGGGAGAGAGCGGACTGCAGCAACCACCCATCTTCTAGCAGGGTGAAACGAGGAGAGAGCAGGGCAGAGCTTGCCTTGCTATGCCTGCGTGTTGGTGGAGACACACAGACAGCTTACTAGCACACATAAAGGTAGCTCCATAGGACCCTAAAAGGCAAAGGACCCACTCTAAAACAGGATATCAGGGCCAGTGTTCAGGGGACCAACTTTTAAACATCAAAAAGCAGCATCCATGGTAGTGATTTAATCAGCATTTGAAAATAGCTTAAAGGAGAACTATGAAATGAGTGATTTCCACTCACCTCATAGTTCTAAGCCGACCTGTGACAATGAGACTGTCACAGGTCGGCGCAGTAGATCGGGAGGGGAGGGAACACATCCCGGGTTCCCTCACCTCTCGATCCTGTCACGGCTCTCTGCCGTGACAGGGGAGGGGCTGGATTCCCCTCTCCCCGCTCCGATCTGCCAGTGCTGACTGGCGGAACGGACGGGGGAGGGGGCGGGTACAGCTGGCTCTGCCTCTAGGTAGGCAGAGCCAGCTGTCACTCACGCAGCTGGGCGGATCCCGTCATCTACGTCGGGATCCGCTCCAGGTGCGGCGTCTCAGTATACCGCGAGCTGTAGCTCGCGATATCCTGAGCTTAGGGTGACGGGAGGACGCTAGTTTGTGTCCTCCCGTTACCCTAAGGAGAACTATGGGGAAAAACACTGACCCCATACTTCTCCTTTAAAACACATTATGACTGTAATATCAGTTAGTAAAGTAAATTAGCCCTAATAATCAGTATAGTAGGAATGGATGGCTACTGTTTATATAAAAACCATACCTTGATTGAAGCTGATTTCTACACAGAGTGCTGTATTTCCAGCACTGCAGAGAAAAGAGCTACAATTGCAACAGTACAGGGCTCCAGTCGTTTATGTGCTCCCTCCTCTATTATGTTACTGGAGCCCTTCACTCTCACAGTCGCAGCTCTTCACCCTGCAGTGCTGGAAATACAGCGCTCTGTGTTGGAGACGGCTTCAATCAAGGTATGATTTTTATAGTAAACAACAGTCATTACTCCTACTAAAAGTACTTGACTTGTACAGATTCTACAACAAACATGTTCCAGAATTCAACTTTAATCCACAAACTCATATTATACCTTGACCTGCTAGCCAGTATTACGCACCTGTCCCCTTTCCAGCGATATATATAAACCTCGAAGCCACAGAGCCATTTGTCAAAATCGTATGTGCCAGGCTCACACATGCATTGTTTACTCCTCATTAAATCTTATGGAGAGTTTGTACTCTGTGCTCCAGTGGAGTGCAAACTCTATATAGAATTGAGTGTAGAGCATACAGTGCATTGGTTCACATCTGTGCATTGTAGTGTGCTATGCTGGCTAGGCTAGGTGCATTGGAGTGACATTCACCTTAGATGGCACTGCAACACAGCACACCTAGGGGTCATTTATTAGCAATTTGCAGAGCTATTAGCCCTGCGAACCTCTGTGAAGGCTTGTTCTCTGTGAATGGATGCACAAAATTAGCAGTTATATTTTCTTTAAAAGTCATATGTATTTTCCAATGTAATACCACAATATGGCCACTAGAAAGAGCAGAGGGACATACAAAATAAAACCTTATTTCCTATGCTCCTCAGCTTCATCTAGTGGACATAATGCAGTATTACAAGGTGACATCCATTCGCACAAGTATTGTGCGTAACCATGAATTGCAGTAACCCAAGATACATAGTTACATAGTACATAGTTACATAGTTACATAGTAAGATAAGACAAGCATTTTATTGCACAATACAGCAAAAGTTTGAAATAGGCCCAAAATGGACATACTCTGTGTTGGGGGGGGGGGGGGGTGCACTTTGTTGTCAAAGATAGTTTAGGTTCTTATTTTTCACTTTGCCCTTTTTTGTCTTAAACTCCCACGTCCCCCCAACCCACCCCTTTCTCTATAATAGGGAGCGGTGATGTCATGTGACAATGCCTAAGCCTAGTGATTGGCAACTAGACTAAGCACTGGGTATTTTGCACTGGCCAAGGTAGCAGAAGGTGGGGTGGGTAGAGGAAGGTGAGTATCAGTGGGTCAGGAAGACCTTATCATAGAGACTGTCAGCTTTGCTCTGAATAGTCCTAGAACTTTCTCTCTTTAAAGAAGCTCACCTCTATGCAAAATAACCCCAAAGGTGCACAGTATAGCTCACTCACCAACAAAGACTATAGCTATGACTGCTTTGACCCCAGTTAGCCATTTGTAAATAAAAAACAGCCATCCTCCCACCACATTACTTACTCTGCTATTCGGAGACAGGAATTTATTTTGCCAAGCGATCTCAGCGCAGACCTACTTGTCCAATCCGTTTAGCATTTCCCCTATTAAATCCACCCGAATCATTAAAGGATCATTGTGTTTGTGCCTGAGGTTGCCTGCAGCTTAAGTTTCAGATTAGATGTGGGGAGGTGAGCTGCACAAGGGCGCAGATTTCCTAACAAAGCATGATTTTTCATCTTGTTCTGCAGCCTGTGTACAAGAAAGTCCCGCTTCTTTCATTAGATGTTAATAGGCTACGCTCTGTTTTCTTTAACGCGG